AGGAAGGAGGGAGAGATGGAGGGAGGGTTGGTCATTGCATAATGTGTTAAGTAACATCCTCAACAATATTCCCAGACTGAACAGGGAATTTTGATCAAATGGTTTCTCCCAATATGCACGAATGGAATAATGTTAACATCTATTTCAAAAAAAGATGGAGTCCACATACATTTTCTTCACGTGGGTTGACCTGATAAGGAACTGAGTTCAGAAGATGAAGATTCTGGAGGACCTACTGGATTTTTTTTTCATGCAAGGCTCCAAAATCACATCTTTCTTAACCTGACTTCTGACAGCTACTTCACTCCAGCTACTTCTGGAGTGAGTTCTCAGTTATAGCATGACCGTGCAGTTCTTTCGTGAGGGACCTGGACATCAGATACTACACGTGGGTGTTAAACAAGGCATCCCATGTGTTAGCATTCAGCTCCTCTGGAGATAGGCACTGATTGACATACCTGCTAGCATGGTTGGGAAACCTGAGATGGTACTGGGCGGGGGAGAGGGGAGGGAAGGCCTAGGAAGTGGATAATCAAAGGGGCGATGATACAAAGAGATTCGGTAAACCTGCAAATGCCATGTGATGTTTGATATTTCCATCCTTTGATTTGCTCAGCACAGATAAACTGAACACCTACTATGAGTGGGGCTCTAGTCTGAAAATAGAGCAGTGAACAAAACAGACAGACTTTTCTGCTCCATGGAAGGGGGAAGAATAGATGCCAAGATAGACAAATTGCCAACTTAGTTTAGTAGAGGGCAAGTACTGTGCAGAAATACAACACAGGAAAAGGAGGCAAGTAGTGCGTGTGTGCACATGCATGCACACGTGTGTTTGCATGTGTGTGCATGCATGTGTGTGTGTAGCAGTGATCCCATCTTCCAGAAGGTAGTCAGAAAGGCCTCATGGTGACAGCAGTATGTAAACAAAGTCCTGAAGAAAGTAGGGGACAAAGTGCCCATCTGAGGGTACCTACTAGACATAGGAAATAGTGGGCACAAAACCTGGGATAGGAGTGTGCCTGGAGGCTTTGTGCCAGGGGCAGGAGTGGAGTGAGGAAGCTGTCGTCGGTGATGCGATACAGGAGCAGTGGTGTGAGGGTGGTGGAGGGAAGATCCTAAAGATCCCATAGGGATTGTAAGGACTTGAACCTTTACTCTTGAGAAGTCTGAGAAGCCACAGGAAGGTTCTAAGTCAAGTAATGACAGGGCCCACTGCTATTTCAAAAAGATTCTCTTGGCTTTTTTCTCTTTCTTTCTTTTCATGGAACTTGAACTCAGGGTCTGGGCATGCATGGTCCTTTAGCTTTTTTACATAAGGCTAGCACTCTACCACTTGAACCATAGTCCCACTTCTGGCTTTTTGGTGGTTAACTGGAGATCAGAGTCTCACCAGCTTTTCTATCTAGGCTGGTCTGACCCTTGATTCTCAGATCTCAACCTCCTGAGTAGTTAAATTACAGCCACTGGTGCCGAGCTTTCCCTAAGCTTTTACACTGAGGTAAGCCTTTGGGGTAGAAAGAGAAGAGCAGGGTGGAGGTTATCTGGCTACTGCATTCTAACCAGACTCACAAGAATCAGCCATGCCTTCACAGCCCTGAAAGAGGAGGGGAGGGAATCCTGTAGGGTTGAAAGCTCAGCTGTTTACAGCATCTGTGTAAAATCATGGGGACCAATCACAAGCCTCTCACTGACCTGATATGACTTTAGGTATCATAACAAAGCATGATGTGTGTGCAAGCCAGCCATGTCCAGGCCTATAACCCACTTGGATGGGAAGCAGGGGGAAGTGGGAACCCCTGGTAAGACTGGACACCCTCAGAGAGCTGCACTGAGTTGTTTGTGCAGAGCCATGACAAATAAGAGTGGTTGCTGAGAAGGGAAGGGGAGCAGTGCCCAGAGTTTTCTCCACTTTGTCCATAAAAGGACAACAGACGCTGCACAGAAGCCTGCTCCGGCTGGATACATTGCCTCTTTCTCCCCACATGGATTTCTAGCTAAACTCAATCCCCGTGGGCTTGGCAGGGCTGGTAATGGCAGCATTGGTGCTGGGATGCTTACTCTGTCCATGCTCAAGGCACAACCCTGCTTCTTGCATACTTGTCCACTGATCATGGATTTGCTGCTAGAACTTTCTCTGACTGGGGCTTCAGCCAGTCACTGCCCACCAATGAGTCGTGCACACAGTGAACCACTTCAGTATTCTAGGCTTCTATCTCGTGCAATCTTAACTTTTGTCTTTGTTGATAAAGACTTTGGAAAGGGTCCACTGATTAAAAACCTATTTTGGCCAGGTGATGGTGGCTCATGCCTGTAATTCTAACTACTCAGGAGAATGAAATCTTAAGATCGAGGTTCAAAGCCAGCCTAGACAGGAAAATCCATGAGACTCTTCTCTACAATTCACCACCAAAGAGTCTGAAGCCGTGCTATGGCTCAAATGGTAGAGCACTATCCTTGAGCAAAAAAGCTAAAAGGCAGCACTTGGGTCCTAAGTTCAAATCCCAGTTCTGGTATACATACTCATAAGAAGAGCTCTAGAGTCTCTACTATTTCTCTTAGAGCTGCTACAAGTCAAAAGGCAAGTAGGCAGAAAAAGCTGTACAGAATTCTTTGTGTGACAGAGGGAGTTCTGTTTCTAGAAAGCAAAAAGCCCTATAAAATGTGGCATACCATTGCTCAGGCACCAACTAGTCCTGGGAACTAGAAAAGTGCTGCAGAAATTGCTGCTTCTCATAAGCCCATGGCCCTTTTTTGACCCAAGTTAGGGGTAGGTCATTTGCCACTAAGTTAGATATGGAGCTAGCACTTCCTAGTTTCAGCAATGGGGTGGGGTAAGATGTCTCATCTCATATCACTTCGGCATTATGAGAGACGAGGCCTAGCTTTGCCTCCATCCCCCACTCCTTCACTTCCTACCTTTGTGACCTATTAGGGATGCTATTTGGCTGCCTTCAATACTCTGGGGCTAGGAATGCAGACAGGAAGTGGGTAAGAGAGGAAAAGGAACAGGGAGTAGAATAGCCTAGTGAGGGGGGACTCTGGCCATGACCATCTTTAGGCAGAGTCCTAGGTGTGACTTTGCCTGCCGCCCTCTCTATTAGGGTAGGGGCACTGGGCAATACTTCAGCTACCCTCAGTCAGGCATCTCCCCAAATCCTAGCCTTCTGGAGGCAGCTATGTTCTGCAGGCCACCTCAGGGAGGGAAAGAGAACTGTCCCCTGGACTTGAAGTAAAAACTACCGAGTAACTATGGTATGATCCAGGAGAAAACAATGCAACATGTTTAACTGGTTTTTCTAGTCTCATAATCAGAAAAAAATAATTTCTATAACTCAATACATAGTCTACTCAATAAAATTTTCAAGCCGTATCTACTACTCACCTCTTTTTCTTTTCCAGTTCTGGGGCTTGAACTCTGGGCCTGGGTACTGTTCCTGAGCTTTTGTGCTCAAGGCTAGTGCTCTATGACTTGAGCCACAGCACCACTTCTGGCTAATTGGAGATAAGAGTTAATTGGAGAGAAGGATCTCACAGTCTTCTGCCTGTGATCCTCAGAGTTCAGCCTTCTGAACAGCTAGGGTTACAGGTGTGAGCCACCCTTGCCCAGTTTACTCACCTCTTTTTCTAAAAAGAATAAATAAATAAAAAGAAAAAGATTCGAGACTAGGTACACTGCCACAACAAAGAAAGGGCTCAGCATTGCACGACGGATGCCAGTGGCAGGGAGAATGTGGTAAGCCCTGTGGGCATCGCCCTGAACATATCTAGGCATGGCACAAATCCTCCAAGATGCCACCTGGGTTTCTCTGAGCGGTCTTCACCCTGCATCCACCCCCTTCTTCATGCCGGACTCCCCCCTGTTTCCTCCTAGTCTCTGGAGATGGTGTTGGCTCCCCTAGTTTTCTCTGCTTCCTCCTGCTTTCCTGCAGGTGAAATTACCTCTCTTACCTGGTGGAGCGGAGCTTTGGGAGGTGAGCCTGTTTCTTGCACAGACTTCTGGGGCCTTTTCCATCTCGTGGCTCTCTCCTTATGCCCCTCACGCCGCCGCGGGGAGGGGAGTGTGTGCGTGTGCTCACGCGTGCGTGCGTGCATGTGTGAGGGGCCTGTGGAAGGAAAGAGCGCTCAATCCAGGCTCTGCGTCACTTCTGCCACGGGTCACAGATGGGGTTCAACAGAGGTTTACAAACCAGGGAGCGCGTTTCAACCTTCCCTACTATCCGGACTCCCTTATTTCCTTGCCTGGGGTGTCAGCACCCCCACAGGGCAACCGAGCCTAGGACAGGAAGAAGGGGTGATGCACCCCACCCCACCCCAAGGGTGCTGCGCAGTTTTCACCACGGCCATTTCCGAGGGCGAAGAGTGGCGAGGAGAGGCCAGGCCCGGGGGGGGGGGTAGAGGCTGGCGGTGCCACCTGCTGAGAGCCGCCCGGGCCCCGCCAGCGACCAGGCAGTGCCACCTGCTATAAATAGATCGCCCAGAACAGGGTGTGCGACCACACATCCCGTGCACAGGGCCTCCATCCCGCGCGTGCGTGCGCGCGTGGGGCCCCTCGCGTCCCCACGGGGCAGCGGTGGGGGGGAGGGCGCCTGGGAACCCCCCACCCCCACCTCCGGGCGGGCTGAGGATGGACGGCGGCGGGGAAGGGGAGGCAGGCAGGGCCCGGAGGCCGCGGAGGCCCCGCACTGCAGCAGCTGTGGGTCGCCGGGGACCCGCGGGTCTGGGCTGGGCCGCGGGGCAGGTTCACCCGGCGCAGGGAGGAAGGGGGGACATCGCGTCCTTCCTCCTAGCTGCCGGGACGCGGGAGTTGAGATCCGGGCTCCAGTCCTCCCTCTCACCTCCCTGCCCACCCCCCCTCCACCCGCCCGCCTAGCGGGGGAGGGGGAAACGCCAGCCGGGCGGGCGCAGACACCTCCTCCTCCTCCCTCTCCTCCTCCTCCCTCT